GAAGGTCCCTATGCTAAATGAACTAGAAAAGGAAGCATCCTGCTTCCTCTCTGTAGTGCTATTCAGACAGCTCTGATCACGTAGACGTCTGATGGATTCCCGATTTATCTGAAGTGTCCTTAACGATTTAATACCTTTTGATGGATGATCCAAATATCCTCCAGGCGAGAATGCAGTTAATATCAAATGTAACAGATCTGGTCCATATTCCTTAATTCATAGTTATATGTATGGTTTGAACCCATTTGAATGGGTGATGTCTCCCCCTAGTAGTTGTTTTTCTTACTTGCAGCATTTTTTTTCTTTGCAGGTGTTTGTTTTTTAGCATCATCAAGGGTGTAACTTTGTGATAAAAGTTGGTGGGGGCGCCCTAAGGGTGGGGGGCACTCTCAGGGTGGGGGCGCTCTAAGGGTGGGGGCGCTCTAAGGGTGGGGCGCTCTCAGGATGGGGGAGCTCTCAGGGTGGGGGCGCTCTCAGGGTGGGGCGCTCTCAGGGTGGGGGAGCTCTAAGGGTGGGGGCGCTCTAAGGGTGGGGGTGCTCTAAGGGTGGAGGAGCTCTCAGGGTGGGGCGCTCTCAGGATGGGGGAGCTCTCAGGGTGGGGGAGCTCTAAGGGTGGGGGCGTTCTAAGGGTGGGGGGCACTCTCAGGGTGGGGGCGCTCTCAGGGTGGGGCGCTCTCAGGGTGGGGGAGCTCTAAGGGTGGGGGCGCTCTAAGGGTGGGGCGCTCTAAGGATGGGGGAGCTCTCAGGGTGGGGGAGCTCTAAGGGTGGGGGCGTTCTAAGGGTGGGGGGCACTCTCAGGGTGGGGGCGCTCTCAGGGTGGGGCGCTCTCAGGGTGGGGGCGTTCTAAGGGTGGGGGGCACTCTCAGGGTGGGGGAGCTCTCAGGGTGGGGGCGCTCTAAGGGTGGGGCGCTCTAAGGGTGGAGACGCTCTCAGGATGGGGGAGCTCTCAGGGTGGGGGTGCTCTTAGGTTGGGGGAGCTCTAAGGGTGGAGACGCTCTAAGGGTGGGGGAGCTCTCAGGGTGGGGCGCTCTCAGGATGGGGGAGCTCTCAGGGTGGGGGCGTTCTAAGGGTGGGGGGCACTCTCAGGGTGGGGGAGCTCTCAGGGTGGGGGCGCTCTAAGGGTGGGGCGCTCTAAGGGTGGAGACGCTCTCAGGATGGGGGAGCTCTCAGGGTGGGGCGCTCTCAGGATGGGGGAGCTCTCAGGGTGGGGGTGCTCTTAGGTTGGGGGAGCTCTAAGGGTGGAGACGCTCTAAGCGTGGGGGCTCTCTCAGGGTGGGGATGTTCTCAGGGTGGGGGCTGATGGACCTACAGCTGATCAACCTAAACGCTCCCAATAGGGTTTATATTAGGGCCGCAACTAACGATTATTTTAAAATTCGATGAATCGGCCGATTATTTTTTCGATTAATCGATGAATAGGAAAAAAAATATTTTTTATATTAACCTCTTTATTCCAAAATAAACATTTTAGACAGAACAAACAAGCACACAAGTACAGGTTGCTCATTAACTGTACTGGTGCAATATGAAAAATAAATGTTTGTGTTAAAACTACGCAAACTTACATGAGAAATGTAGCTGTACATCCACAAAATATAGGGTACTTTGTTTCATAAAGCGCAAAAAAAGACATTTTTGTTTTTAAAGCCCCTAAGGGGTTCAAACAACAGGCCCCCCCATTTCAACAAATGAGGTTTTTTAGACTAGAAGAGTTCTGCCTTTTAAGACAGGAAAGTATAGCAGTTAAAGTTGCTACTTGAGAAAATACTGAACCATAGAGATAAAAATAGCCCTGTGATTCAAATTATAAATTGTATTTGGAATAAAAATGAGAGAACTAGGGGTGCTAAAAAACACATCCTCCAAAGACAGATATTTACATGGGAATGTGGCAGATAATTAATTGACATATTACTGATCTTGCTGGATTTTATTCTGCTTTACTTCCATAAATTGCAGGATCTTCTTTACTTTATCTTTGCCAGAAGATTTAAACTTTAAAAGCCTTGCCCTCATAATTTGCAAGTTAATTTATTTATAAAGTAAATATAAACGCTGCTTAAGCTAATTCAAATGAAATTAAAAGTAAAATAAGTAGCCAACCTTATCACTGTCTGTAACCTACTAACAAGGTAAGGAAAGCATCAGATGAGCTACCTGAGAAACTAACGTTACGTTTCCCCACTTTAAAACCAAACAAACATGGCCGCTCACCCTGCTGATCAGCTCTCTTCACTGCCATCGAAGGCTCCAACATGTTTCTTTTCAGGTGCTGCGTCATAACAGTGGTGCTTCCGTGCCATGTTCATTTGTTTTTACAAAAGTTGCATGTTACGACTTTTTTCGCTTTACAAAGCGCAGGCTATTTTAATTATTGTGATCAATTTGCGCCGTCAATCCCGGCGCATGCGCGCTTCATTTGCAGTCTGGACGCTGAGGGTAAACATCCTGCAGCTCTGACTGAAGCGCTGAGAGGGACTCCTGCGGGAGGCCTCATCTCATGGGTTTGGGCCTGAAAGATGTATCTGCTCGTCTGACTAAAACATGGAAAAAGCTTTTTTTGAGCAGCACGATGTAACGGTGAATATCATCGATGATCCATCCTGTCATCGTAGCGCATCCAGTCAGCGGCTAAATGTTAAGAGCGAAATGTGTCTAATGGTGGCGCTTTGTTGCTAGCTCTGCTGCTAACGCTTCATCTTCAGCTGTTAGATGATGTTAGATTTCTCTAGACTGAAGCCTGCAGGGAGGGGGGAGTTCTTCCCTCCAGCCCGAAGCCCCCCCCCACCCCCCGTCTATGGAGACAAAGGTCACAACCAGTGGAGGTTGATCGTGTGTCAGTTTGCCGACGTTTATCAGTTTAACGCTCCCTGATGACCTGCCTGCTGTTTACTGACAGACGTGACCAGAACCTCTGAACCCAACAGGCTGTTTACCCTCATTGCAGTAAGAGAAACCACTGATCAACCCTGATTGGTTCAACTGTTTGTCTTCAGGACGTTTGGACATGAAGAAAACTATCTGGGTTCAAATGAAACTCCTTTTTTCCTCTGTTCACTCAGATCTTTTACTTTACTCATACAGACCAGTGAAAACTCCCTGAGAGTAGTAGTAGTAGTAAATGTATGAATGTATTGCTGTAGAGCATTTAAAGGTCACTCTTTTTAACGCTGCATTCTTTAAACTGCTGCATCTGAGACCTTGGAGCCGAAAACGGCCCCTTCAGAGCCAGCAGCAGGCCTCTTCATGCTAACTCTTCTCTCAGCAGGGAAAACGGATGCAGAGCCGCCGTTTGCAAAGCTGCATCTGCATGAAGATGAAAACAGCAAAACACAGAGAACTAATTCCTTCTAACGTGGAACGACTGCAGGGAGAAACCGACCGCAGCTGAGAGGCCAGCACGGTGGTGGCATGGTAATGATGTGGGCTTCATTGGGTGCCACAGAGACACCTTAAAGACCTCAAGCTTCCATCCGTGTATCCGTTAGATCGCTGTATCTGGGTCCAAACATTTATCAGATCTATGGTCCCTTCGCTCAGATTAGAGACATATAACCAGGTATTTTACTGACATAATCCATCTAACCGTTTTAAAGTCATGTTATTTTTAGGAAATAAACTTTTATAAACCTCCTTTGTTCTTCAAGGGTATGAGAATCTGACCTGTACATTCATGTGTATGTAGCTTTAGCAACATTAGCATTTAGTCTTGGTTGGTTTATTACCGATTCACGGTCTCAGGCACATGCAGAAACCCTTAGCGACCGCCTGCAGGTGAGTCCCTGACTAGCCGAAAGAGACAAGAGTCAAGATAGTAACGCAGGCTAATGCTAACATGAGGATAGCCTGGTGGGCTGATGTTAGCAGGATGACACCAAAGCAGGCTAATGTAACATGGTGATAGCAAGGTGGGTTAATGTTAGCATGATCACAGTAAAGCAGGCTAATTTTAGCATGATGATACCAAAGCGGGCTAATGTTAGCATGGTGATAGCAAGGTGGGCTAATGCTAGCATGAGGATAGCCAGGTGGGCTGATGTTAGCAGGATGACACCAAAGCAGGCTAATGTTAGCATGGTGATAGCAAAGCAGGCTAATGTTAGCATGGTAATAGCATGTTGGGCTGATGTTAGCAGGATGACACCAAAGCGGGCTAATGTAGCATGGTGATAGCAAGGTTGGCTAATGTTAGTATGATCACAGTAAAGCAGGCTAATGTTAGCATGATGACACCAAAGCGGGCTAATGTTAGCATGGTACTAGCAAGACAGGCTAATGTTCACATGACAGCAAAGCAGGCTAATGTTAGCATGGTAATAGCAAGGTAGGCTAATGTTAGCATTGTGATAGCAAAGCAGTCTGTTAGCATGGTAATAGCAAGTTGGGTTAATGTTAGCATGATTAGAGTAAAGTAGGCTAATGTTAGCATGGTTACACCAAACCGGGCTAATGTTAGCATGGTAATAGCAAACCGGGCTAATGTTAGCATGGTAAAAGCAAGAGGGCTTATTGTTAGTGTGGTGATAGCAAGTGGCTAATGTTAGCATGGTGATAGCAAGACAGCTAATGTTAGCCCCCTAAAGGAATTACATCAATATAGGAGGAAACTGAGACCTGCTCTCTGATTGGCCCTTAGAGGTTGCAGCTACAAAGACTGACCAGCAGGTAAGATATTGACTGCTAATAGCCTCACAGCAGGATCCCATTTCCAGCTGGATGAGCCTGAACCGCAGAGCAGAACAGCGTCCTGTTAACCTGCAGATGATTGCTGGCCTCTAAGTCAGATCTAGATGCAGAACATTTGAATACATGATATAAACACGTCACGCCTCCTGAGGAAAAAAACCTGCCTTCAAAATAAAAGTCTCACCCAAAGAAGAGATCAGAACCAGAGAGAGGCTGGATCTGGATCAGGGCGGGACCGGAGTGACGCGGAGGGATTCAGAGGCTGTCAGAGGAGTGTGTGTGTGTGTGTGTGCGTGCGTGTGTGTGCGTGCGTGCGTGTGTGTGTGTGTGTGTGTGTGACAGAGTGAAGTTGAGCGCGCGCTCTGCGTAGTTTGCAGCTGATCGGTGCGTCAGGACGCGCAGTCCGTCCGCCTCCAGCATGTAGCAGCTCTCTGGACTCTCTGCTGTCCTTCTGACCCGTTAGCCGGTGACCGTCCGGAACCATGGGGGGGGCTCTGGGCTGTCACCGCTCCATCCCGCGGGACCCCGCAGACCTGAGCTGCGGGAAACGTAAATTCAGCGCAGCCTGCAACTTCAGCAACATCTCCGTGAACCACGATCGGCTGAACATCAACGCCGCCACCGAGGAGGAGCTGATGACGCTGCCGGGGGTGAACCGGGCCGTGGCCCAGAACATCGTGGAGTACCGGGACTGTATCGGCGGCTTCAGGAAGGTGGAGGACCTGGCTCTGGTCAGCGGGATCGGAGCCGCCAAGCTGGAGGCCATCAAGCCGGAGATCTGCGTCTCCTCCAGGAGCAGCTCCTCCCAGCATTCACCCTCCTCGCTGCGCAGAGAGCCGGAGCATCCGTCCGGTACCGGGATCAACGTCAACACGGCCACCGCGGCGCAGCTGCGGAGCGTCCGCGGCCTGACGGAGAAGATCGTCCGGAACATCTTGGCCTACCGGGCGGAGCACGGCCCGTTCCGGAGCATCGAGGACCTGGTGAAGGTCCAACACGTCAGCAGCTCCCTGTTGGACCGGATCCGCTTCCAGGTGTACGTGGAGCGCTCCAGGACGCCGTCCACCAACACCCAGCAGAGCCCCACCTCCTTCAGCCTGCGGAGCGAGGAGCCGGACCTTCCTCCCGGCGGCCCGACGCACATCGGCTCGGTTCGGCCCAGCGGGGAGCCGCCGCTCGCGCTGCGGGACGGGAAGCCGGTGGTGCGTCTGGCGACGTGGAGCCTGCAGAGCTGCTGCTGCGAGAAGGCCAACAACCCGGGGGTCCGGGAGGTGGTCTGCATGACCCTGCTGGAGAACGAGTGAGTACCGGACCCTGCAGAACCAGCTTTCAGGTCCGGTTCTGATCCTCCAGGTCCAGGTTCTTTTAGCAGCTTCAGGAATAAGCTGTGGTTCTAAAGAAGGACCCGGTTCTCATCGGTTCCTCTGCTCTGGGTTCTGCATGAAGTTTCCATTCTGTGCTGACTTAGAACCAGAGGTCCGGTTCTTATGGCTGACAGAACCTTCCTCCAGGTTCTGAGAGCCTGACCCGACTCACTGCCAAGCAGCAGGTTCTGTTAGGTTCTGATCCAGACACAGAGAGGTGGTTCTGAGTTCTGGTCCAATAAAACCTCAGCAGGAAGTTTTGGCCCACATGTGGCAAAGGAAACCCTGCATGGTGAGCAAGGTGGTGGCAGTATGGTGATATGGGCTGCAGCGAAAACCTCCCTGAACATCCAGAGACTCCGTGGACGTGTCCAAACGGCCTAGTCAAAGTCCAGCAGGGAATCCTTCATCTGTTCTGAGTCTGAGCCCCAAAGATCGGATCAGGTTCTGGAGAGCCGTGTTCGGTGGTTTCAGGCTGTGGTACCGGGCCGGGCTCAGAACCGTCCGGTAGATGCTGAGCAGCTAGAGGAGTTCCCTGTGGAGCCGTCTCTGAGGTTTTTCGGATCAGAGCGGGTTGAGTTTGGACCCTGGAGCTAGAACGGGTCGGCCGGTCTGACCCGGTCCAGTTCTGACAGGTTTCTTCAAGGTTCTTGGTGCTCTCTGTGGTCCCGGCAGAAGTCCTTGTGTTGCTGTGTCTGCAGTCGCTGCTGGCCTTGATGCTGATAAGCGAAGCCTGAACAACGTCACGCTGAGTCAGAACCGGCTGATACGGGCCCAGAACCGAAGGAGATGATGATCTGGAAGATACCGCAATCATCCTGCAGCCAAAGCAAGCTGCTGATAGTCGGTTCTACTGGGTCAGGCTGAGGTCCAGAACCAGTCAAACCTTCACCGTTATCCAACAGAACCTCCACCTGGTCCAGCAGTCGGTTCTGATGTGGCGGGCCTTCCATTGGAACCCACTCTGCTGCCGTCATGTGAACCTGGTTCTGGTTTCTGTCTGTGGATCAGAAGGATCAGTTCTGCTTTTCCTAGAACTTCCTCCTCTGAGGTTCTGGTTCAGCAGATATTTTCCTGAGCAGAACCGCAGACTGTTTACACAACATGACGACTCGGAGCGACCCGGTTGGAGGGAAACTGGCCCGACTGGATTGTTCTCTAGGTTCCCCTCAGGCCCAAACATGTAGTTGTTCTGACAGAGGAGCCTGTTTTTCTCTGGAACCTGCCTGAAGTTCTGAGACGATCAGAAGGTTCTGATTGTTCTCGGTTCTGATGCCCAGTTGGACCATCAGTGGGTTTGTCTAATAAAGAGGTCATTGGTTCTGTTCTGAACCTCAGGCTTGGTTCTGCTTGTTGTCCTGGTTCTGTTGGAGGCCTGTTAGGCTACGGATCGGGTCAGTCTGTGTCCATACAAGGCTCTGGCTTTAGGTTCTGTTTTTCAGGCCCGGGTTCTGGCCCCCATCGTGTCTCTGAAAGGCTATGAGGCTGAAGAACAGAACGGGCTCTGGTCCAAATGAACCTGGATTCCATGTGGACCGATCGAAGCCGACCTTTTGGACCAGAGATACCAGCGCGGCTCAGTTGATGCCGGCTGCGCGGCGCTGAGCTGGACTGTGGACCCATCAGAACTCTGAGAACTCCAGCCTAGCTGAGCTTGTTAGTGGCGCCGATGCTTAGAGGAATAAAACGGGTCGGTTCTGGTTCAGCTGCTGAATAAAGCAGGATGTCTGAGTTTGGGGGGGAGCTGGAATCTCTGGGGCGTCTCCTCCAGCTGACGTGGTTCTGATGCCTGCTGAGCTAAACGGACCTGATGGCTGATCAATCTGCTGGCAGATAGATGAGGGTTAGTCTGAGTCAGGAGGGTTGGCCCAAGATGGCGGCCAGCTGGCCAGTAGGAAGCTCCCATGGTGACTACATGTTACATATAATTCCAATATTTTACATGATGACTTAATTACAGGTACAGGTCTGTTAATGCGTTTAGTATTTATTATTTGCAGATTGATTAATGATGCCATATACTGTTGTACTGTGTCTGTAGATAGATCTGACATAGATTTACATTAGAGCTAAATTAATGACCTAGTTTAATAACTCCACAGAGCTTCAGTTTCTAGACGTGTCTTGCTCAGAAAGATTGGATCCAGTATTGGAGGCAGACAGACAGTTGGATTTCTCACAACGTTTATTTAGAAACGGATCCTCCTTGAACAGTGAGGGAAAACCCGGTCGTGTCAGGAAGCGGTTCCAGGTTCGGTAAACAGGCAGAATCCAGCAGGAGTTTGAGGACAGGTCAGGCAAACAGATCAGAACAGGAACAGGTGGGCTCAGAGGTCCAGAGGCAGAATGGGTCAGGATCAGGCAATCAGAACACAGATAAGCTGGAGAACTGTGACCAAAGGCTTGAATAATCTGGCCCTGATGCCTGGTAGAGGGTGGATCAGATGAAGGTAACGAGAACTGGGCGGAGCTACACAGGTGAATGAAATGAGCAGTCAAACCAATCACCAGCGCTGAGGTCATGACAACACAAGCTAAATCACATACTTTGCAAAATAACTGGCAACATCAAATGTATATTTAGCTTTTTGCTAATAGTTACAAGAATGTAATAATTAGCATATACTTTACATACAAGTGTGTATGCACACAAACACAAACACATACATCCACTATCCAGTGATTTAATAATATAAGTTGCTCATGTAGTTTTAAGTCATAGTGAAATATCCATAGCATTAGCTTAGCAAAATGGTGTTTGCTCACTCGTGCTTGAATGTCAAACATGTTCAGTTGTGCAAACAGTCCCATGTCCACCATCTCCTCCAGTCTGAATCATTGATACTGATGCTGCTGCTCTTGGCGGCTCCTTCTCAGTGGTTTGTGATGTTTGTCAGAAGCAGCTTTCAGCAGCCTCGCACACACTGATGACATCAGCTGATGCTAACATCAGCCCCCCCGCGGTTTTACACTCCATCATCCACTGACTGTAAAATTACCTGTGAAATGTCAGAAAACTGCTTGTTTTTGCAGCCAAATGCTGCACATGTAGGCATTTTTACTGCACGTCTACGTGAGAGCAGGGAGTACCAAGATGGCAGTTTTTTCAGGCTATCAGCAATCCAGTGAATAAATAGAGATCAATGGTAATAACAGGTGTCTCTGCCTTCTGTTCCAAAGAATACAATGAAAATAAATGGTTTCTAAAAAAATTTAAATATATTCTACCGACCACAAGAAGAAAACTACATTGATAGAAATTACAAATAATAAAGCTCTAGCATAAGTGACCAAACAATAAGCTAATAGCAGTAACACGCTAACAGTATTAACAGGCTAACATAGATCCTTTGTTAGAACAGCTGTTGGTTCCACTATGATCGTAACAGGAATTACGATTAAATCAGAATCTGAACCACTGATCTTTTTTAGACGTTATGTTGGATCCCTGACAAAATTAGGTCATAGAAACAAAGTAACCCCCCCCCCCCCTATTCCACCTAGTTTCTGTTCTGTTATTTCCTGAAATTGAGAATATAGTCAGAAATGAACCCAATGCTGATGCAGAATAGGATCTATAAAAGAGGAACAACCTCTACAGCTACATCATACAACTTCCCATTTCAGCTCATCACCCCCATTACCTGTTTGCCCTCAGACCTGTTTGCCCTCAGACCTGTTTGCCCTCAGACCTGTTTGCCCTCAGACCTGTTTGCACTCAGACCTGTTTGCCCTCAGACCTGTTTGCCCTCAGACTCGTTTGCCCTCAGACCTGTTTGCCCTCAGACTCGTTTGCCCTCAGACCTGTTTGCCCTCAGACCTGTTTGCCCTCAGACTCGTTTGCCCTCAGACTCGTTTGCCCTCAGACCTGTTTGTCCTCAGACCTGTTTGCCCTCAGACTGGTTTGCCCTCAGACCTGTTTGCCCTCAGACTCGTTTGCCCTCAGACCTGTGTGCCCTCAGACTCGTTTGCCCTCAGACCTGTTTGCCTTCACACCTGTTTGCCCTCAGACCTGTTTGCCCTCAGACTCGTTTGCCCTCAGACCTGTTTGCCCTCAGACCTGTTTGCCCTCAGACCTGTGTGCCCTCAGACCTGTGTGCCCTCAGGCCTGTTTGCCCTCAGACATGTGTGCCCTCAGACCTGTGTGCCCTCAGACCTGTGTGCCCTCAGACCTGTTTGCCCCTTTAAACCCGTTTGCCCCCCAGAAACCCGTTTGCCCTAAGGCCTGTTTTTCCCTCAGACCTGTGTTCCCCCAGAAAAAATGGTGTCGGCCCCGGCAAACCCGAGGGGTTTCCCTCCCACCTGGGGGGGGGGGGGGGGGGGTGGGGTGGGTCGGGGGGGGGGGGGGCCCCTGCACCCGGGGGGGGGGTTTGGGGGGGGGTTAAAACGTTTGCCCGCCTGTTTTCCCTCAGACCTGTGTGCCCTCAGGGCCTGTTTCCCTTTAGAATGTTTTTCCCTCAGACGGTTTTTCCCCCAGACCTTTTGCCCTTTAGACTTGGCCCTCAGACTCGTTTGCCCCAGGGCCTGTTTGCCTTTAGACCCGTTTTGCCCTCAACCTTGGGTTTGGGGCCCCCGACCTTTTGCCCCCCAGGCCTTTTTTGCCCTCAAAATGTGTGCCCTCAGACCTGTGTGCCCCCAGACCTGTTTGGGCCCCCAGACCTGTTTGCCCCTTAGAAATGTTTTCCCTCAGACCTGTTTGCCCTAGACCTGTTTTTCCCTTTAGACCCCTTTTGGGCCCTCAGAAACCCGTGTGCCCTCAGGCCTGTTTGCCCAGACCTGTTTGCCCTCAGACCGTTTGCCCTCAACCTGTTTGCCCTCAGACCTGTTTTTCCCCCTTTAGTTTTTCTCCTTTGTTTGCCGGTTTTTGGGGGGTTTCCCCCAGACCGTTTGCCCTTAGGGCCTGTTTGCCCTCCCGACCGTTTGCCCTCGACCTTGG